TTAGCAATTTCTTTGAATATTCTAGAATACAGTTGATTTGGCCTAAATGATTTGAAAAGGTCTGACAGATTTAGGGATTCTAACCTGTTCTTTCACTTTCCTCTTTCTCACAAGTGTTAATTGTACCACACATTACTTCAGAGTTGACCTTTTCAGAAGACTGATGCAGAAAAAACCATTAAACATTTCAGCCTTCTTGGAATCATTTGTTGAGAGCTCTTCCTCTTTTCTATACAGCAGACCAATGTTTTTCTTAGTCTTTTTCACCAGTATTGTGCTGATGAATCAGTTCACATAACCCTTGACACCCCTTGCTAATAGCATAATTTTGTATCTGTTCCCTGTATTTCCATATTATTCCTTTTATTTGTCTTCACTGATCTAATTTTCTACGCATTCTCTATATGCTTCCTTCTTGTGACAGAGAACAACAAGTAACTTAAAATTTAGACACGTGTGTCTTTTATTACATCTCCTGTCCTTTTACATCTCACATTTGGATCCCATGAGCCAGCATCATTCACATCTCTTGTCCAGAAAACTGATAGCCTGCCTTCTTTAGTTTTGGTTCCTCTGAGATTCCAAATTGCAAATTTCTCTTTATGGAAAGTTTTGTTCTCAAAATCCCCTGTTTTCCTGTACTTTCTCCTTCTTCTCTAAAGACTAATGAACTCTGCCACTCTGTGGTCACAGAAGTTGCCTTCTACACTTCTTAGGTTAAATTCAAATCCAGAAAGCTTTTTCTAAAGTTGCTTATATGTTTCAAAAACTTGGTAGAGAACTTGTGCTCTGCTCCCAGCACATACACCTGTAAATAGAGAAATGCCCTATTATGATAAAATCATGCCCTGGAGAATGCCAACTCCTCACAAAAAGAACTAATTCCAGTCTTCTTGAAAAGGTGTAACCACTAACACTATTTCCTTTACAGAGCACAGATCTCATTTAAGAGAGAGAGAGAACCTGTGGCAGAGACATTAGAGTCATGTTGTCAGCAGGGGTGTGTTGATCTGGTTCTGCTGCTGCCTGGGTGCCCATCTGTAGGTTGGTAAGGTGGGATTTATTTCACCTACATTTCAACACTAAATTTCAACACTAGTATAAATATCAACCTTTGCACTTGGCACATCAGTTGTTTTATTCCAGTAAGGGAAGAGGAACAGGCACATTAGGACACATTAATTCATCTGACTTACTTCAGATCATCATCATCATGGCTGGGCTTTGTGAACGAAGATTTGGGGAGGGCTCTACCCATGTTTGTTACAAGCACACTGGTGGCTAAAAAGGCCAATATGAGATAAGCACGTCCAGTTGCAAAAGGCAGCAGAAAGATTCCTTAGGTGGTATATTCTGCAAGGCACGAAACTTTCTGCGTTGTCTTTTCTCCTCAAGGGTGATCCTGTGTGCTTTCTCAAAAGCATCAGCAGTGTTATAGATGGTGTGTCTCCAGGCCTCCCAACTGGAGGCCAGAGTAGACCAGTTATGGTGATCAATATGGCCGAGGTTGAGATGTTGTTTCAGGGAGTCCTTGCATCTCCTCTTCGGGGCTCCTCTCATGCAGCAGCCGGTGGCAAGTTCACCATAAAGCAGGATCTTAGGGAGGCGGTGGTTCTTCATCCTGGAGATGTGCCCTGCCCAGCGCAGCTGTGTTCTCAGCAACATGTTAGGTAGGAGAACAAGGCACCTTGTGCTGCACAAATTTAAATAAGCACAGCATCGCCAGCCAGTCAAGGGAGGTGATTGTCCTGCTCTACCCTGTTTTGGTGCGGCCTCACCTCGAGACCTGTGTGCAGTTTTGGTCACCACAATACAAGAAAGATATTAAACTATTAGAGAACATCCAAAGGAGGACCATGAATACAGTGAAGGGCTTAGAGGGGAAGCCTTATGAGGAGCGGCTGAGGTAGCTTGGTTTATTCAGCCTGGAGAAGAGGAGACTGAGGGGACACCTCTTCATAGTCCACAACTTCCTCATGAGGGGAAGCAGAGAGGCAGGCATTGATCTCTTCTCTGTGGTGACCAGTGACAGGACCTGAGGGAATGGCCTGAAGTTATGTCAGAGGAGGCTTAGATTGGACATTAGAAAAAGGTTCTTCACCCAGAGGGTGGTTGGGCACTGGAACAGGTTCCCCAGAGAAGTGGTCACCGTACCAAGCCTGACAGAGTTCAAGAAGCATTGGGACAATGCTCTCAGGTACACGGTTTGACTCTTTGGGTGTCCTGTGCAGAGCCAGGAGTTGGACTTGATGCTCCTTGTGGCTCCCTCAATTTTAGGTGTGTAAAATAAAATCTATTGTTAGGACACCAGTATGGTTGACACACGAGTGTGGTTGCAGAGCCTGCAGGAAAATGCTCCTGAGTGGCACATCTGAGGGGACCTGGTCGAAGCAGGATCCTGTGAATGCCTGGAGATCCCAGTCCACAGCACAAGCTAAGTTAAAGCATTGAAATGCACAATCAGTCTCACAAAGCAGAAGTGCTACTGAGAAGATTACGAAAGAGATATACCACAGAATCACAGAATATGCTGAGTTGGAAGGCGCCCACAAGGATCATCAAGTCCAACTCCTGGCTCTGCACAGGACCATCCCCAAGAGTTGCACCATGTGCCTGAGAGTATTGTCCCAATGCTTCTTGAACTCTGTCAGGCTTGGTGCTGTGACCACTTCCCTAGGGAGCCTGTTCCAGTGCCCAACCACCCTCTGGGTGAGGAACCTTTTTCTAATATCCAACCTAAACCTTCCCTGACACAACTTCAGGCCATTCCCTTGGGTCCTGTCACCACTGATATGATGAAAGTGTGCAATGACACTGAGTGGATTAAGAAAGAATGATGCAATTCATAAAACACATTGAGAAAGTGCCATCATTGATAAGACTTAGAAAAGCAATGTCAGGTAAAAAGAAGGGAAAGGGTGTAAATTGCCAAAGGCTACAGACCATACAGAGTCTAAAGGAAAAAGGAGTCTTGAGGACTTTTCTGCAGAAACACTGATGGAGCTGTAAAATGGGGGCAATGGAAATCAGCAAGCCAGAGAAATTACCAAAAAGTGTGAGTGGATAAGTGGATACTTGTGTTTGTGAGCAACTACAGTTAGTAATACCACAGATACACTTCTCTCCTTACCAATCTCATTTATAGAAGACATATATTAATGTAGAACTATTAACATGTGAGAAGCAACTGTATCACTGGAAAAGGGGGCTACAACACTGTGGTTTTCTGAATTGAGAGAAGACTGAAGGGACACATTGACAACGGTCTTTGAGTACCTAAGAGGCCATTCTCTGGGTATGAGGGATGGAAAGACAAAAATAACGCAAGTAACTGAACTGCAGTAAGGTAGACATCAGGAAAACCTCAGAGTAATAATGAACAAGGCTGGATTCCTTGTGGAAGCTGTGGAATCTCCAGCAGTGCAGGTATGAAATGGACAATAGCTATCACAAAAAAAAGAAGTCACATATAACTGACCTCTTCTAGGAACACAGGCAAACAAGGTAGATTTTTGAAATCTGATCCTGGCTCTTTATACGATTTTATGACTGTAGCAAAGGTTAGTATAAACATTTTATTTTGATCATACAAGAAGCATGCTTTAAGGGAGATGTTACAGTGGCAAACAAATTACAGACATTCACAAAAATGGGCTTAACAATGTTATAAGTTACTCTAAATCACCAGTTCAGCAGAACAGTGAAGCATAGTTCTTGCGTCCTACAGACTTTAGGTCTAAGGACACAAAACACCCAATCTTGAGGCCTTGAGGAAATATTAAACCAAATCGATGACGCCTTTAACAACAGAATAACCCCAGACCTAAAAAAGTCAGTATTAGGGAGGAGTGTGCTGCAGGACAGCACAAGCTCTCACATATACCACAAAAAGCAAGGCATCTCTAAACTGCTCTTCAGGAAAAAACTGTTAATAGAGATTTCCTAAAGAAATGCTGTTGGGGATTAAACATTCACACCTCAGCGTGCGTTTCACATGTGGAGGGAGTCTAATGTGAACTGGATATACCGTTACTAAGATTTAGTGACCCCATTTGTCACAGTGGTAACTGCACACAGACTGCCTGTCTTTAACTAAAGCAAGCTCCATTTTAACAAGGCTTTTAGCTGTCTGCAGCTGCTCGAATGAAGCCTTTCTGTTGACACCCATGGGCTCCCTGGGGTGCTTATGTCAGTTCCTGGTGCTATCCCTTTTAATCTTAATGTACACCTGTCAGACCCCTCGGAATTTCTATTCAGTATCACCTTCCCCTGAAGGCTCCTTCAGCCAGAATAAACTTGGGTTTACTTATTTATTATTACAGCAAAATAAGCTGTGCCCACTGACTTGATGGTTCTGCCACGGAGAGCCTGAAGAGCGAAAAGCCAAGTGGTTTGAAACCCAGCCTTTCCAAGTTGCACACTTTGCAGCTGGACACCATAAAATCTGTTTCATGGTTCTTGTTAGAACCAAATAATTCTCAGAAAGGGCTCTTCTGATCTTACAGCCTATGAAACAATCTACGTCCAGATCTAACATTTGCTATAAGATTTCCCAGAATTTAAAGACATACAGCGATCGTTCAGAGCTTTCGGCTTTGGATGTGCTGATCTCTCACAAAGTCTGCCACCGCATCCTGGACAAGTTGTTCCGCGCAGGCAAGTGACTGGCGAGGGGAACAGTGTGGTGTCCGCTTCCCTGCCCGCCCGGAGCACGACCCCCAGCGCCAGCCGGTGCTGCCCGGGGCTCCGGGGGCGCTCCCAGAGGCGAGCGCTTCCCGCAAGCGTGGTGCGACCGTGGCAGCGCCTCTTTGACAGGAGAAGGCAAAAAAGGAGCAGCGAATAAACAGAAACATGCCCGGCACCGGCAGGAGCCTGCTGTGAGCCCGGGAGCTGGGGAGGAGGAAAGGGGCTGCGCATCCCCGGCCCCCCCGCCCTGGCCTCGCCACCGCCGCCCCGGTCCCGCCCGTCCCGCGCTGCCGCCAGCGCGTCCCGCCGCTCACCGATAGTGGAAACGACGGTGCCCACGAAGTAGAAAGCGCCGGTGAAGTCCCATCGGGGCCGGATGTCATCGACACGGATGCCCGGCCACGTTGGCCCCTCGTACTCCCGGAGAAAGAGCCGGAGCTCGCGCGGCTGAGTTGGGCCCGGGTGAAGTTCTCCAATCCCGCCGTTCCTCCCAGCGCTCCTTGGCCTCCCGCTCCGTGGGCAGCTCGATGGCCGAGAAGACGGCGGCGCCGCACAGCATGTAGAGCACGATCAGCACCGCCAGCAGGAGGAACCGCGCGTTGTCCGCGTTCAGGCGACCCGGCTGGAGCAGCAAGCAGCAGCCGCCGCCACACGCATCCCCGCCCCGCGACCGGCTCCGCGCCGCCACGCACGCGGGCCCCGCTGCCGGCCGCCGCATCACGCACCGCCCCGCCGTCGCGGGCTGTGGGGCTCAAGGCGCCGCGGAGCCCGGCGGCGCGAGCATCGCCGGGAGCCGGCCGGACCTCCGCCCCGGGGCAGTGGCGCGGCGGACGCGCTTCGGGCTGCAGCGCAAATCCTGCGGCGAGGAACCGCCGCCCCGTCCCCCCGCCCGCATAGCCTCTCAGCCCACCCGCCCGCCGGGCGGGCTCCCGTGCCCCCAGTTTCATATCCCTCCTGCCCCCGCCCCGACACCGTCCGGAGCGGGAGCGCAGGACAGCATCGCCAGCGCCTCCTGCCTGGTAGGCCGGGGGCAGGCGGATCGCGCGCCCAAGCTCGCCCCGCCCGCCCTCCCCCCGCGGGGCTCCTCCGCCCGGGTCGCGCCCCCGACGGTGTCCTCCACCGCCCCGAGGGTCGCTCCCCGCGGCAGAGGCGCGACCGCCGTCCCCGAGGGTGTCCCCGGTGCTCCAGGAGAGCAGCTGGCAGGGCGGGCCGCCCCGCTGCCTCCACCTCTCACAGGGGGACAAGGGGCTCCCCCTTCCCTCCCGGCCTGTGCTCAGCCCCGGCCGTGGGGCCGAGGAGCGCCCCAGGCAACGGCGCCTCTTAGAGAGGTCGGGAGTGAAACCCTTCAGTCGGTGATATGCCTCTAGTATCAAAGCCATAAAAATTACCGCCCTTTGCCAAAAGAGGGCACCTCCTTCTCCACAGATCTGGTTATCCATCGCCTTCCCGACAAGGTGTTACATCTTCATCCTCCAGCGCTGGGCAGTCAAAGGGAAGTCGTGAAGGGAAGACAGAGGCAGCTCTCCAGCTGCAGTGTGGTTTAAAAAAGCGTTATTTGCAGGTTCAAAGAGCTCTTGATCCAAATCTTCTGGAAATATTCTTACTACAAGAAGAAAAAGCTAAACCTAGCAATATCTGGCAGTTAGTATAGTGCTGAATTCTACTTTAAAATAACTGGAGGCTAGAATTCAGCTCTGTTAAACATATTAGTATATAAACACTTTCCAGTGAAAGACAACCTACATATATTTTTTTTAAATCAGGTTAACGAGCTATTACTGTAACATCTACTCCCCTTCACCTCTTTTCTATTTCTGTTTTCTAATTATGTTGCAGTCAAAATGCAATGGGAATGAACCCTAAGGTCTTAGCAATTAGAAATCCCACACAATGGTAGATACTGGTTGTAAGAGCCATTGATGGTCTCATAGCCTGAGATATATTTGGGTATTGGTCTGAGCCCTGGGGGTGCACTGTGGGCAGTTCTCTGCCAGTGTTTGGGATAGGATCACCAGCTGTGTGGCAACAGCTGCTTGGGTAGCTCATGTTGCACAGTACATCATGTTGCAAGTTTTTATTCCCTCATCATTAGTCTTCAGTATAGACTAACATATGGCAATCAAAATTAGCAGCGATGCTGGAAGACACTAGTGAAAAATAGAAAAACAAGATGCCAGTCAAATTAACCAGACTGTGACAAGTGCTAAAGGTAACCACATGCTTCCATAAAAAGTGCTGGTATATCTTTAAAATTATTAATAGTTCCTATTAGAGTAAAAAACTCCCAACCTATTGCCAGTCTTTGCCATCCAGAAAGAAGAAAGAACTCAATCAGTGTGCTCCCAGCCAGCATAGGCAGCAGAACTGAGTGAGCACCCTCAGTCCACACTGAAATCTCCACCCACGAAAGCTGTTCTAGGGTGGCTTGGATTAGCACAGTGGGAAAAGGAGCCTTTAACTGTTTGCAACCATGACATCAATGTGATTGCCCAAAGGAATGTGAATAACAATCACACTGTCCTAAGGATTATCCAAGGAAAATTATTCAAAGTTATTAAGTTCCTCCTTATTTACATATTATTTTGTTAGTGTGGAATAGTTATTTTGGTGTTGGTCTTGGGCATAGAGGGAATTATCACATTAATGCAGGTAAAACCATCTGGCACAGTTTTGAAAGACAATGAAGTTTACTACTGTCACTGGTCATCAAACGTTGCAAGTTCCCTTAATTTGTCAAATTTGATCTTCACCAAACTAAAACACTATGAAGGATATGCAGTGATTTAATCATCTTTCAAAAAAGTGGCTTTTTAAGCACTAGACCAAGAGTGAGTTAATACTGGCTGGAATCCTGAAGAAGAAAATGAGAAGAGGCTGGCAAATATCAAAGGTGTGGCACCTTTTGTTGTTTTAAGCTCCTTTTCTTCCTTTATTCCCCTGTTTTAATTAAGGTACTTACTCTAAAGAATACTTTTGTGTAACAAAGGTCACCATTTCCATTGCTCTTGGGTAGGTACCTGGAAAAACTGGAGTGTGTGGAGAACACAAACAGTGTAATGATGCAGTCACCCATTCAGATCGTTTAAGCAAGGCTGAATAAAGAAATGCAATGTGTTCACTGGCATAAGCTAAAAATTAAAATTAATCTTTTAGTTTCAGGTAAAAAAAGTTGTTAAATATGTTGCTGATATTTAAATTAACCCCAAAGCTAAGTTTGCATCAAGAGAGCCTGAGCCCTGAAAGCATTGCCATTAACCTCAGTACAGCCACTTGTGGCATCATTACCAGGAAACCTGCTATGTCTGTCCTACCCCTCAGCACCACAAGCTCACAGCTCCCCGGTGTCTGTGTGTGTGGGCATTTAGTAACAACAGATTGGTGGTGGTGAATCTTAGCACCATTATAAAATAATAGGAAAAAAATCAATGTACTTACTCATTCTGTTGATAATATTGAATTACAACCCTGTAATTAAGAAAGCTACAGTCACTAGTAATGATTACCAACAAATGTCTGGTCAGAATAGATTTATTATTAATGCATCATCAAATTATTTGGAAGACTCATGCAGGGATTTAGTTACTCTCACTCTTTCATAGGGTCAATTACTTTTTAATTAGAGATCTCCTTTGGAAGTGATTAGCTGGTACACTTAACCAAAAATCACTAATCATCTTGGGAGGAGCTATGGGAGAGCTGAAATATACTCCTGAGCAAACTTTATACATAATGAAACATTCTGCTAGAGGAGCAGGAATATGAAATAGGGAATTATGGAATTATTTAAGTTGGAGAAGACCTTGAGATCATTTAGTCCAAGCCACAATCATTAACACTACCAAGTCCACCACTAAACCATATCCCAAGTGCCACATCTACACATCTTTTAATACCTCCAGGGATCTTAACTCCATCACTTCCCTGGGCAGTCTGTTCCAGTGCCTGACAACCCTCTGTGAAGATTTTTTCCTAATATCCAATCTAAACCACACCTGGTGCAACTTGAGGCCATTTCCTCTTGTCCTGTCACTTGTTACGTGGGAAAAGAGACCAACCCCTACCTTGCTACAACCTCCTTTCAGGTAGTTGCAGACAGTGATAAGTTTTCCCCTGAGCTTCCTTTTCCCCAGGCTAAACACCCCCAGCTCCCTCACCTGCTCCTCATAAGATTTGTGCTCCAGACCCTTCACCAGCTCTGTTGTCCTTCTCTGGACATACTCCAGCACCTCAAGGTCTGTCTTGCAGTGAGGGGCCCAGAACTGGACATTGGGTTCAAGGTGTGGCCTCACCAGTGCTGAGTACAGGGGGACAATCACTGCCCTGGTCCTGCTGGCCACACTATTTCTGGTACAAGCCAGGATGCCACTGGCTTTCCTGGCCACCTGGGCACACTGCTGCTCATGTTCAGCTGGAATGCTGCTCCTTGCCTTCACAAACCAGAAGGCACTTAGCAGATAAGATGGCTGAACCTGGCTATATAAAACAGATTTTCAAAAAATGAGAAATGTGAAAACTTTTTCCATCTCTTTTACTTCAGTTGCTGAAGTGTGGCATTCTAGTCCTCTTGGGGAAGACAACAGTTCACTTATAGTTAGGGAACACCCCATAGGGGCACTTTTATTTGAAGGTATTTGCAAATTAATTTCTACAATTGGAAAAGTGAGGCAGAGATAGACAGGGCTTAGAAGCCCCTATAAAGGGCTCTTAAAGAGCTGTCCTCAAGAACAACTTCCACTTTTGGAAGTCACTTTGCATGCTGTTTATCTTCCATCATTTCAACAGGTAAGAAAACCACTGTGGGGCTGACAGCTTAGTTTCTCAAACTGCTGACCAACCAACCACAGTTCAGAGGCAATAATTTGCAGTTAAGGGAGAACTAAGACACACAAATCAACTTGTTTAAAGACAGAACAGAGTCAGAAAAAAAGTTGGTAAAAGACTCCAAGAGCCTCCAAGCATTCCTCCATCCTAAACAGTGGAAAATACTTTCAACTAAAGGATGAACTTTTACATTGATTAATACAATGGGATCGCAATACCTTGAAAGCACTGCAAACGTATTTAGAGAGCAGTAATCGGGAATTAGTTTGAGTAGTGATAAATTTTTGATAAACAGAGAAGCAGAAAAGTATATTACAAAAAGAAGATAAGCCAAGGATAGAAAAACTGGAGATTAACATGGGAACTTAATTCTCTGAACTTACTCAGCTCCTTTCAGCCTCCAGTACTTTCCAGTTTCTTTCTTTGCCCTTCAGGATGCCAGTTACAGTTGCTCAGATTAAAAGAAACTCAGAGGTAAGACAGAGGGAATGGTGTGACCACTGTCAGTGTTTGGCTAAAATTCTGACATCCTGGGGCACTGATTAATTCCACAGCTGTAGAATGTCAGCAAAAATATCTGTGGGATTAGGCACCATCTAGCACCATAAAGAACATTACATCTCCATTCTAGCTTTTGTCAAACACACGCATTAGGTACCCAGAGTATGAAACAAAACATTTATTAGGGTGGTATGAAAAATATAATTTAAAAATACTCTGACAAGAAAAAAATTAAAATCTGGACAATCAAGAAGCGTTTTTAAGTCTGCCCTGGGACCCGAGAACATGCAGGTCTAGAAAATTGTTATTAAATAACATTTTCTGGCCAAAGGTTTTCCCAAGAGCCTTCTGTCCAGCTCCAGTGAGTACTGAAGTGCAGCTCAGTTTGAGTTGCATAGGACTGGCTGCAAAAGACTGTTGCCACCTTGGAGTTTTAGTTATCTTTGGACAGGTTTTTCTCAAAATGGGTTTTCCTTGTCTTTTTGGAAGATAATTGTTTAAACAGTTAAAACAAAACTAAACGCATGTCATTTTCAACCAAACTCAGCCTTTATTTGAACCATTAGACTCACACCACATACTGTCCAACAAAACAAACCCCTCACATTCACTCTTCTTTCCCCTCTGCCACTCAGCACTGCCTCACTTCCATGCTTATTCCACAGCCTAAGTTGCTTTGGGTCACGGCTCTTTGTTGGAAAGATTTCCTGAGTGTTTTCCTACTGGAACTGATCACTTGGTTTATTTGTCCCCAAAGGCAGACTTTGGAAGGATCTTCTGACACTTTCATTAATCTGAGCCTTGAAGAGCTAAAGTTAAATCACACCAAGTTCCTGGACACTGAAAGATTCCAGCTGGAATTTACCAGGAATGCCTCAGAGCTGGTCAAACCATTCTATGACAAAAACAGAAATACTCATATATGTAACATAATAAATCACATCCTTTACAAATTCAGGAAAACCACTTGTTAGCCAGCCTTCTAGAGCTCTTAAAGCTTTCCTCATGTAAAGACATCTTCCTACTTAGAGAACTTCTCTAATTCTCACAGAATGAAAATTACTAAAATAGTAACACTGTTAAAAGGAAAGTCCAACAATGAAGTTGCTATCTCAGT